CAATTAACCAAGGGTTGCAAGAACCAATCCCTCATAAATTCATCCGAACAGCAGATAGCGACCAATCATGATGGGATCGTGGCACTTATCTGATATTTGAGGTTTGCCCTAATTAAGTAGGTGGCTCAATTGGCCAAGGAATTCCAACTTTTAAAAGCCTCTTAGCAAGAAGGGGATTTCCCTCTACCTAGGTCAAATTGGCATAATAATGAGTTAAAGGTAGAAACACTCAATCATTCATGAATAATACCTCAAATATTATATAAAAATTCAATCAACACACAAATAGAGTCATTTTCTTACATCCTAACACACATCTAGACTAGGGTTCACAATACCCAAGTGAAGAGGAACTCTACTCCATAGCTAGGCAAAGGAAAACAACAAAGATGAAAGAAATAACCATGGTGGATGCTTGTCATCCCTCCTTGTTGATGAGAATTCCTCGAGAGTAGGGATGGTAATCGGTCGGAAACTGATTTAACTAGTAACAGGCTAACCAGTTAATGGTATACCGAACCACAGTAAGTGGTTGCCGACAACCGCACTGAATTCCTACCAATTAACTGTCTAACCGGCTAGCCGGTTATTGATTACCAAACCGATTATCCGATAACCGCACACAATATTTCTCTCCCCCCAATTTTAGTTGCTTTTTTATGTTCTCTCTCATTCATATTCTCAATCTTGGACAATTATTTAAATGTGAGCTCCTAATTAGTTCTGTGATGTACTGCCTTTATTTTCTTTATTGTGATTACCTTATATGTGAGCTCCTAATTAGCTTCGTAATTGAGCATCTTCAGCATCCCGCCTTCCAAATAACACCACCTAACTTAAATAAAAAGAAGATAAAGAGAAACACTAGCATCAGATAAATAGCTATGTGATTCACTGCCTTCCAGATCATTCCACGTATTTCTCTGTCGCCCCTTTCCCTCGCCACAAGTAATTCGTTGGGAACTTCCCCATCAAAAGCTCCATGATTAAGGCTCCACACATTCGTCTTCTTTGTCCTCCAATCTGTCTTTATGAACTTTGGCGACTTGTATGACATTATCACCCGCTGCGCCTGGTCCTAGTTCACCATCGGTGCTAGTGCATAGTCGGTAAGCAGCGGCTGAAACATGTGGTCTTCGTCGGGGTATCGATACGTGGTTAACCGGGTTGCTGACGGTAAACAACAGAAACTCAGCCGGTATACCATTTACTTCCTCACGGCGTCCGACAACCGTTACCGGCGGTTAACGATGTAACCGATTACTGTCAGTTAACGGTATGGTTACCGTTTAAATCGTTAACCGGGTAACCAAATAGCACCCCTAATTGAGGGGAATGGATCAGGTCAGTAACCTTATGGTGAGTAACCATGAGTAACCCATCAACATCAGCATGACATCAGCATCCTCTCTCATAGAAAGCCTTTAATTTTTCCCTCTTTAATTTTTGACGGACGATTTCTCGCTCATTTTAAGTCGAAATTTAATTTTTTTTGCACAGTTAGATCAGATTAATTGTGCTCTTCAAAATGATATCCACTTTACTATATTTTTCGAACAAAAAAAATTGAGCCATTTTTTACCAGCCTATACCATATGGTATTGACTGGTATTGAAATAAAAGCATACCTATGTTTTGAAAAACGTACCATGGTGGTATGAACAAACCCATACTGTAGGATGGTTGAATACATGATAGTAGAAGTATATTAAGTATAATTTACGACTTTTAACATTGTATACCACACAATACCACCCCGTACCAGGGTGGTATTGTATGGTATTGTGTGGTATTTTTTGGTCCTGTAATTTGTTCACCCAGAAATTTGTAGATCCAATAGATCATGATGAACTCGTCCCTTCTGTGCAAACATTTTAAAAAACGAATTAAAAACGAAGAAGATACCATACAATACCACCCCGTACTAGGGTGGTATTGTATGGTATTGTGTGGTATTTTTTGGTCCTGTAATTTGTTCACCCAGAAATTTGTAGATCCAGTAGATCATGATGAACTCATCCCTGCTGTGCAAACGTTTTCAAAAACGAATTAAAAACGAAGAATATACCATATGGTATGCAGTTGGTACCGAGAGGCCAGAATTTTTTTTTCCTAAAAAAATATTGAAAATTGATCTCATTTTGTAGAGCACGGTGAACTCGTTCCATCTGTGCAAAAAAAATTAAAATCCGAGTTAAAACGAAAAAGATATGAGTCAATTAAGAAAGCTAGTGAAAATAAAAATAGCCCTTAATTCTCCATCTTTAGATCTGAATTTTCTAAATAAAGGGTCCAGATTTGGTTATTGATGGGTGCATAACCCATGGTTATGCACCCTATCTTGAGCCCTAATTGAGAGGTAGAATCTTCACTCCTATAGGTTGGAGTAATCCCAAATTTTCTTCTTCTCTCCTTGCTGATGACATTCTCTCTCCCGACTGCCTTCTATTTATAGAGCCCGAAGTCACTTTCACGATCTGCACTTAACGCTCGTGACTTTGGCGTTTAGACCGTGACATCGAACAAAAACGCGGGAGGATGCTGCCGTTTTGGTCCGACATCACGGTCACTGGACAATTATCACGGTCAGGCGACCGTGATAATCTTCAAGCTCGCGAGGTGCAAAAACCTCCTTGTTTCTCGCGAACTTCACGCCCGTCATGCAATTGTCACGGTCGACTTTGGACTTTTCTTCACTTTTTGGCTCTTTTCGACCTCCATTCGTCCCGAAACTCGTCATCGACTTTCCACACGTGCTATGACCTTAAAAGTATCAAAAATAGCACAATCTAGTGTAAAATAGGTCGAGGGACGATGAAATGCAAGGCTAAACTATCAAGAAATGAGGGCTAAAATGTGTGTAATTAGCCCCGAATCAACAATCTACACACATAGAGTTCAAATCCAACAACCTATCACATTTCTAGGCTAGGACCCACACCCAAGTGAAAAGAGAACTACTCCATAGCTAAGCTAGGGATTACAACAAAGAGGAGGGAAAGAACCATGGTGTGGTGTTTGACTTCCTTCCTTGTGATTGCAATCACCCTTGGAATTGAAAATCTTCAATCCTCTAACTAGGAGCAAACGCTAGACCTCTTCTTCTCTCTTTGTTCGTCACTTTCTCTCTGTAAAACCACAAGAAGAAGAAGACAATCTCTCACTAGGATCCCCCTTCAAATTTCAGCTCTCTTCTCCTTTAATACTCTAGTCGTGCGCTTATCATGGTCGATTATCACGGGCGTGATCTCGAAGCCTCGCCCGTGATCTCGGGCAAAAACACACCGTTTCATTTAAGGCCTTCACGAACTTGATGGCATTATCACGATCAGACCGTGATAACTTTTAGGCCCGCAAGGTCCAAACTTTTTGGAGGGTATGGGAAAGGAAGGCAGCGAAATGTAGGGGTGTTCAAACAGAGTGGTTATCGTGGTCTGTGGTAACCATTTAATTGGAAGTATTCGGGTAATTTAGTTTGGTTGATTTGGATGATTCGTTTGGTTTGAACAAATTTTTCCTTTTGTTTGGTCTAGGTGATTTGGTTTGGTTTCACACACTCCTAACCAATTAACCGGTTAAGCAATTAGCTAGTCATATGTCTAATATATTATATATACATACTTAATACTTTGCATAACCACTCAACATACACTGTGATAACTGCTAGGAAACTACGAAATTTTATATAGACGCACCCAATTCATTAGCCTCATGTCCTTAACATATATTTTTGTTAGGTGGCTACTTCTAATGACTGTAAACTAATGTTATTAGTTATATATAGTAAGGGTTAAATATGTGTTGACGGTTATATATTATTCATTTTATAAATTATGAATTGATTAATGTTATGTTGGTTAATCCAATTAATCAAATCGGTTATATTAATTTGGTTGGTTTGGTTGTGATATTGTATTTTATGGATAATAGAATTTAAGCGAATTAATTTTGAACATTATCATGGTAACCATTTCAACATTATCATGATAATCATTTGAATACCCCTACCGACATTGATGGTCTGGAAGGAAAAGGAAGCATCACAGAAATGGGGAATGCAATGTTATGCTTGGCTAACCCAAAGTGGGCTTTTGTGAGAGCACAAAAATAAAAGAGGGGTTGCCTATAGCAAAATCCATGAACGAAAAATCATCCCCGACTACTTGCAGTTACAAATATAAAAGTGGGATTTTGCTAATTAACGAAAAAAATCGTAACTATTTCCCTGGTTACTTGCACTTTAAAGATATAATAATATAATAATAATTGAACAATTGTAGACCACAAAATAAGCCCATAGTCTCGTCAGTCAATAACGAGGCAACCAAGCTCCAACCTACCTATGCACGCATACGCTGGTGGTGCTCACCAACTTGCCGGTGCTCACCAACTTGCCATTGAAAAGGACGATGGGGTCCATGGATAGTTCTACGGCAAAGTGTCATTCTACTAGCTAGAAAGACATTGAACTACTTATTAAAGGGTAAATGTCACATTTGGTCACTGAAATCACTAATTCATGTCATGTTTAGTCACTATAAAAAATTAATATAAATTTTGGTCACTCGAATTACTGAAACGTATCACATTTAGTCACTCTCCCGTTAGTTTCGTCCAACTCCATTAACTATCACATTTAGTCACTCTCCCTTTAGCCTCCGTCCAACTCTGTAGTTCCTGTTAGTCTCCGTCGTACAGAGTTGGACGGAGGCTAACGGGAGAATGACCAAATGTGACATGTTTCACTAATACGAGTGACATTCATAAAAAAAAATAAAAAAAAAAAATTTCGAGTGACCAAAGTTAGACGGAGACTAATAGGAAAGTGACTAAATCTTACATACTTTAGTAAGACCAAAATTTATATTAATTTTTTCTAGTGACTAAACATAACACGATTTAGTAATCTCACTAACCAAATATGGCATTTACACACTTATTAAAATAGAGTATCAAGAGGCATTGGCATTTCAAACCAGAAACAGCTAAACCAAACAAAGCAGCAAATCTCAATCATCTGAACTACGTCAACTGATTCTGGCGACATTAAACGTACAAAATTCAAACTAGCCCAGGAAGCATCATCAATTTTCCATTCAGGAATCCACAAGTATCAACGACGATGGACTCTACAAGAATAGCTCATGAACATATACATTACATATTTAAGTGAGACAGAGAAGAGAGTGTTAAGTAAATACAATAGATACATTTGCCATCAGAGAGGAAGAGAGATGAGAATTTATCAATGAGTTAATCAAAAATTAAATTAACCCACTTGGTTAAAATGGTCGTCTAGCTAGCTATGCTTTCTAAGCTCCTTATACAACTTTTTAACGACCAGAAACGAATAATGAATTGGTTGATATTTGACTGCCATCCACCTGAATTTTCCTTATCTTTACCTTGTCAATCCGTGCTCGTCTCACGGCTTCCTGGATATGGCGGTCATGGTCCTTCAGTACTTCATCCATGTTCCCAGTCGGAACCAGTGGACCAGAGTAGTGGATTTTGGGACCCTTTGACCCATGCCCAACCTAAATCAAGGAATAAGATTTCAGGGGAAAAAACAAGTTCAATTAATTTGATTTCAATGCGACTGCAGCAACTTACAAGGACAGGATTGCCGCAGCCAGCCCTTCCATCCTCCCTCTGATGGGCACTTGTAGTGAAACCCTGCAAATGGTGATGCTTCTGATCTTGTTGGCCGAAGGACTCCGAGGATTCCTTGAAAGATCCAGGAAACCGTGCTATTAGTTTCGGGACTTCAGATTGTGGTTGAACCGATCTTTCCCTTCGGTCCTCAGTCAACAAGCTTCTCCTTGCAGCTACTAACCCAGCAGGCATTGTTGACAAGTCAGCAGCCCCACTAGAAACCTTAGGAGCTTCATAGGGATTCCTAGTACCCGCTTTGGACCAAGCAACACGCTGAGCAAGTGGGCCAGAATGAGAACCTCGCCTATGCTGCTGTTGGTGTGGGGGCTCTCCACTTGATTCGATGACTTGGGATGGTCTAGGTGGTTCGAATGGAAACCCAGAAGCGACTTCTTCTGGATGAGGATTGAATTTCTCACTGCGGCTTTTAGAGTTTGGCTGACATTGCCTTTTCTGCTACAGCAAAGGGCAAATTAAAAATTGAATTGAAGACCCACAAATCAAAGGAAAGAGTTAAAATGCAAAAGTAAGATATCAGAAGCCGAACGAGCGAGTGGATCAAAAGAGTGGACACAAGAAATGGCCATTACTGATAAGAATAGCCCATCAAGGTAACTCCAAGAAAATTAAAATGTTGAAAAGATAAAAAACACGTGTACAGAACAGAAATGTAATCGTTTTTATTTTTACTGAAGTTCCCTGCTTTTCTGTAATAGATGGCAAAGTTGCTGGCAAGAAGAATGCAGTAACATCTCTAGTTTTCCACAAAAATATCAAATTTTGAGGATTGTAACTTTGTGAGAATTCTCGCCAAAAGAGGGCCATAAGTGAATAATTTCATTGAGCCCCATATGGGAGAATTAAAACTAGAATTCACCTGGATAGATACAGCCAACTCCGCATTAGCATCAGGTGCTGGCACTGCTCGAGATTCTCTTGTTCCTCTTCGTTCAGTGTCATGTCGGTGGCCCTTGCTTGCTACTGCACCTTGTCTGCCAAAAATCATGCAGTAAAATATGTACCATGATAACATTACATAATCCAGAAAACGAAGAATCCTAAAACCAGCAAATGTGTGTGTTTAGATTTGATAATCCTAACCTTCTAGCTTCTTCGTCTCGCATTTTTGCATCAAACTCCTTGCTCGGGGGATATTTTGGCAAGCTTGAAGGATCACAAGGAAGTGGCTTTGTCGTAAAGAACTGCAACACATTGAGCAGATGGCAAAACATCACCGACAAATTAAAAGAAAAAATGCATAACAGCCAGAACACTAGTAGATGTGCAACAACAGACAATGGTGACAAATGGAAAGATTAGCAAGAGTTTGTAGAGAGATTAGCAAGAGTTTCAGATAATCACACACAACTAATATTTATGATATGTAAAATCATGGTTCAAGAAGGCGGAATTCCGATTGCAGCTACGCACCTAGGCAATGACAAAATGCCTCTCCTAGGCCTTAAATTGCAAATAAGACATTCTTAATGCCGAGGCAGAGCTAGGCGGCACCTAGTCCTGATTAAGCAATGTCAGACCCAATTAGGTAATTGAAGGCGTACTTAAGCATATCTAGTGGACCGACAGAAGAAAAAAGGCAGCTGACTTCACCAAAACAACACCATCTCAAACTACCCTCAATGCAACATTTGTTCCTCGCTATTCTAGATCAGAAAGCTGCTTCTCATTGTCACTCATTCATTCGAGCAACCCTCTACCCTGCTGCTCTTTGTCGTTGCAGACTGCCCTCTCCTAATAGTGATGAGCCAAGAACCTCCTCGTTCGCTTCGATCGTCTCTTTGCCTTGCTGCTCTTCACCATCACTGACTACGATAGCCACAAGCCCACAACCTTCTCCTCATTGCTCCATTCCCTTTGCCTTGACCCTCTACCCAGTTTCTCTTTGTCGTCGCTGACTGCCAGCGCCCGGCAGCAACAAGCTGTGAGTCGTGACTCATGATTCACCACATTCTAAATAATCATTCTTCTCATCTTCGACAAGATTCAAGTTTTCTAAAGCTAATTTTGGACAAATTTCAATTCACCACTTTCTATAAGCTTCTGATTCTAGGAAATTATGACATATTTTGCTTCTTGTAGAGGGTCAGGTAAGTTATGAATCATTTGAATATAAGTACAAAAGTGCTATAAAGCTGTTATTTTTACTTCCTTACGCTTAGCGCCTTCTTGAACCTTGTGTAAAATGCGACATAACTATTAGAATTAGTTCAACTAACAGTGCCAGTGAATCCTATCAAAGAATTTGTCACAATTGAGAAGGATAAACAACACCCAGTTATAAGAATTCTAGCCACACACAAACCATATAATTGCTACTGTAACATTTTTAGCAAGTACCAGCATGTGTCTCCTGAGAAGATAAATTTAAGGTGGCCAATTGAACATTTAGAGCTTCATACCTCACTCCTCAAAGCAAAAGCTGCAGTTCCCCGATCCGCAGGATCAATGGAAAGCAAGGTCTCCATGAGTGCTAAAGCGGGCACAGGGAACTCCTTAAATGTATCAGCTACACAGCGTCTATAAGGTTGCTGAGGCTTAAATATAGTAGCATGAGGCAACTTTGACTTTTTCCAGTAATCCTCAGAAGGAGAACCACAAAGTTTGAAAATTTTATGCAGCTGCTCCACCTTCATAGACAAAAAACATGTAAATTATTCATCTGGCCTTATTCTTGCTGAACTATTTTCAGTTGAATAACAAAGCAGTCAGAAAACATAATAATGAAATAATATCCTAAGTGAAGGATATATGCCATCAATACGGAAGGCAGGCCTAAATTCAGTATATTTAAAACACTCAGAAGAAGCTAGTATATCTCAGTAAGCTGTGAGAAGGGACTCTACTGTCTAATACACAGCAGAAAATGGACCAGCAGCATTTTTCAGTTCCACTGAGGTCACATCTATTCATTCCTCAAATACACCATGAGTAAGGCTAGAAGGCTATATTAGCTCCATCTGTTTGGGCTGCTATCCTCTTTTGACATCCCTTTACAACCCATACAAAACCAGGTAAGTTACAATACAGAGTGAAGCCACGAGAGTAACCAATTCATGGATTTCAGAAGTTGAGAAAAGAGAGAGATCATTAGGGAGAGAAGCAGCACATAATGCTGATTCAACTAAACCTCAAATCAGACAGCTGTTAAACAAGAGTGCCACACCTATGGTTAAGCCTAAAACTAACTTGACAATGAGAGGCAGTAAGCCAAAGGTAAGTGACATACTAGAGCTTGATATACAGAATATCATATGCGGATACACATCCTCTAAGAATAGTAGTTCAATCCTCAAGTTTCTTATGCTACTTTCACACATGCACATAAGGTTGATGTGGGCCGAGTCATACATAACTGACATCAATCTCTCGTGCAGGAAATTCCAGGGTGAATTAAGTTTCGGAATGCATTTTGAATAGCACTGGTTTCAGAAGTTTGTGAACAGAAAACTGTAGAAACGATATAGGCAATAGATAAGCAGCAGATATCAGTGATCAAAAGATAAATTCAACCATCCAAACCCAAAGGGACAAATACCTCGGTTCTACCAGGCATAATAGGCTTGCCAGCATATAATTCAGCAAGTATGCAACCAGTACTCCATAAGTCCACAGCAGTTCCGTAGTATGTCGCTCCAAGTAGAAGCTCCGGTGGACGATACCAAAGGGTCACAACCCGGCTTGTCAACGGCTGAATATGACTGGGATCGTAAATGCTTGCTAGACCAAAGTCGGCAATTTTCAGGATACCATTATTGTCAATTAATAGATTGGAACCTTTTATATCTCGGTGTAATACACCACGACTGTGACAATGATCAAGACCTCGTAGGAGTTGTTGCGTGTAACATTTCACCTGCCAAAATTACAGGACTTTGATGAGAAGCAGATATCTGCAACAAACAAGAATAAGATAAATGCATAAATATGTACTTTACAATGAATGATGTTGGCAGACTACAAGAACATCATATTTGAAATATCATTATTCCAAACCAGACTCCTGTGAAAATATTACAATGCTGAAACTCTAACAATTACCTGTGCTTCAGTAAACTTAAGACCTGGATGTGAGGCGAGACCAGCCAAGTCATGCTCCATGTATTCAAAGACAAGATACAAGCTACAAGACATCCTTGAGGTAACTAAGCCTTCTAGCTTTATAACATTAGGATGGTCAAGCCTACGCAAAATGTGGATCTCCCTTGCCATAAAGCGAACACTATCCGGTTCAAGATTATCAAACCTCACTTTCTTTAAAGCAACAATCTTTTTCTGATCAAGGTCACGTGCCCTGTAAACATTGCTATAGGTTCCTTGTCCAATCTGCATGAGAAAGCACAACTATTATTAGCTCCAAACTAGTCAGGAGTTACTGTTCCTTATAAAAAGAGCAGTACATTTGAAATGGACAGAATATACTAATCAAATAAGTAATCAGAAAGATTTAGATGAAAAAATATGAAGTTTAAGAAAATCGTGTACCTTATCCAGCTTCTCGAAAGAATCAGCCCGTCTAGGAAGCCACCCCTTTATTGCTTCCCCAGATACTGCAGCTAACCAGGAAGGCCACCCAGCAGCAACCTGCTCTCCTTCAATCGCTTTTGGTATGCTACCAATCCTTGGATATTGCACAACAGCATATTCCATCCTCTCCCTCTTTTTATCAACACTCTCACTGACCTGCAATCTATTTGACCCATCGGTTTGCTTATCAATTAACATTGTCCTCCTGTCATTGTTGTTGTACCTATCTTTAGGCCTATACTCATCTTCCCTCCTTGAAGATGTGACCCTTGATACCCTCAAATCAGATGATTCTTTACTTGAGAGCCTTTCTTTGTTATCCACTATAGAAGAGGGTTTACAGCAAATGCCACCCATAGTGCTCCAAAAACAACTCCCAACTAATATCCTAGTATAAATTCCTACCTATCAAATCCTGCATCCCTGTAGATGAGTCATCTACTTCTTCCCATTTCTGGAAAAAAAAACATGAAAAAATATCAATCTCTATATAAAATAATCCAAGACGCAAAACAAAATTAATGAGATGAAATGAAATGATTAAGGATTTCAACACTATTTGGGATCCATACAATACAACATGAGAAAAGGCATGTCCAAAACACTATTTGAGTCCCTCAATAAATGATACATCCGAACTACGAAAACCCAACTCGCCATTGGTCAGCAAAGATGCAAGCTTTGGTAAACAGGTTAGAACCAGAATCCATAACAATGTATTGGGAAAAGTACATGATAAGGGTCCTAAAACTAGCAAATTCACCAAATCCTTGCTCCGTTCCCTTCAGAACAAGGAAGACTGCAACCTAAGGGTTTACTATCCATCCAAAAAATCCATGATAATGAAAGCATAAGGAGAGGAAATGAAGAAAAGTAGTAAAAGAAGACAATGTCACAGTGCATAGCCAAAAGCAACGAAATTAGAATACTGTTTTCACTTCAAAGCTACTGAAAGTAGAAGGCTTGCACGCAATGGCATCGAAGAAACGCAAGAATTAAACTAGTGTTCGCACGCATAAGAGAAGAGCTTCTCCAAAGCTCACCCGACTTGAAGGAGCAAAGTAAGATTCAGGCAAGAAGACTGGAGGCGATGCTGCAGATGGAAAAGGAAACAGAAGTGAGTGGCAACTTTGGCGGACCAAGTGAAAGCAGCTTTCGGAGAAGCAGATCGAGAGTATCCAGCCAGCGACGAAAGCGAATACTGTGTGCGAGAGCGAAAGCGAGAGACCAGACTGACGATTTTAGGGATCTGAATCTGCTTTCCAATTTCACCCTTTTCTTGTTTTATTGTATTTAATTTTAGTTCCTACCAAAAAAATATATTGCCAAAAACTTAAATAAACTTTTATTTTGAGGGTTCTTTTAACATTCCGAGATATCATGGTAATTTGTATCGACTAGTTGATACGGAGAATTTTGTATTAATGTACTGGGATTCGAATCATGATCACTTTAAAAAAAAATAAGGATGATAATCAATCACACTAAGTAGATTAGTTGTAACTTTTTAAATTAAAAACATATACGAAACTAAAATTGGAAAATCATATGACTTTTTTCAACGATTAGTTGGCCACCAAATCTCCCGTAAGTACTTATTTGGTGTTTTGATACTTGGATTTTCATATTTTGATTAGTTAATTATATTTTAATACTTAATTTTAATTTCTATCTATCTTATAAATATATGATAACCCTAAAATTTCAATCCAAATATCACTGGTTCGAATATTGCATACCGAATTGCAATATTAAATATGTAGAAGCAATATTGACTTCTTAAATTAGTATTAGTTTTCAGAACTACTATGAAGCAATCATATCATTGTGCAAACTATATGGGACTAGTTCTTTTAACATTTTAGTCGGGTTAACCACTACAATTGATACATCTTCCTAATCTGGCATGATTGAATCCAACGATCATTATACGAGATTGAGTTAATAGGTTGCCATTTCACTACATTTTGGCGTGTTACTAAATTTTTAGGACAATGACATGTCTACATGTACACTCATCAATCTCACATTCTACACATAATATAAAGGTCAAATGAGAAATGAGCAATCCCATTTCAAATTTGATGCACCCAAAGCAATTTTTGGCGGGGTAAATTTAGAAGGCGTCAGTGCAGCCGGTCTGTTGAGCACGAAAGTAAAAACTCTTTTTTTTTATTTAAACGACCCAAACTGTGATTTGGCCCACTGATCATGCACCCATCGCAACCTCGCCAAAGCTTCCCATTCTACTCACCGGGTCTCCTCCCCCACGAGCCTACTCTCCTCATGTTCCAAAGTTATCAATGAATCCTAATCTCTACAACTTATGCGACATATTCTAACTAGAATGCGTAGATGGAGCAACCGACGGATTGCAGCTACCCCTACTGTTTTGATAGCAAATCAAGAAGACCCCGGTTATTCAGTTGTATGATGATTCACTTAATTAACACACTTCAATCCATTGACAGCCTCCTCTCCTCAATTGTATTGTGTTCACGAAGATTTGAAGGCAGCAAGTGCAACAGGTCCATGGGTAACCGATATGTATAAAGAGTTGACCAAATTGAATTGAGTCGTTCTGCTTGGAATATGAAGATTTTTTATTAATTGCTTTGGTTCGTGATGCGGCTATGTTTGAAGGTAGACCAACGCAAACAGTACAGCTCCACAGCTATTCTTCACATCAGGTAGTTGGGACATCAATTGATAATGATTTGGATTATTCCATAAAGTACAAAATTTGAGCTATTTGCCTTTATATTACATTGATTAATAATGGTTTGAGATTTTGTCAAATGAGTGATTTGACATGTTAAACTCTTCTATTTTCAAAGTGGAATATGAAGATTTTTTATTAAACTTGGTTTCGTAATGCCCTTATGGGTGTTTATAAAATGCAGTTGTATTACAAAGAACCCATCTCAAATGGCAGGTCAGGGTACAACGATAGTACCGGTATACGTTTGTATCATTAGTAGGAAACAGATTGAATCCATTCTACTAAATCGTTTAGTAAAATGTTGTAATTGGCCTGCGAAATGTATTCTTTGCATTAACTGTTAATGATTGTGAATTTTGGTTTAATGGTGGAAAGTTCATTTATTAAGAAGTAATCCAATGCTTAAATTTCATTTTGAAGTTTAAATTGGACAAATCTGTTTGGAAATAGGCATGCCATACATTAGTGTCGTGGGAGGTTTGTTTGATGTCTCAAGGTTTTGAATTTTCTAGAGGGATGTTTATTGTCACAGAGAATCCCTAGAGCTAGCAAGGTATTCCTATGCAGACTTTTCCATTAATAAATCATTAGACTAGAGAATACAAGTGAAAGTTTGAGGCAGTTGATGAAATTCTTTATTTGGATGTTGTAATGATTAGAAGTCCATCCTCTTTTTTGACATTGCAATTCTTTATTAGTTATGAAATGATTTATTTGAATGAAGACAAAGTCATGTATACTTTCTGTACCATTCTCGCCACTTTTTTTTAGCACAGGCTGCTATCGAGAGTGTGCATTCCTCTTTCCCATCTATGACCACCGTTGGATTCCCACCCAGGTCATCACTACATGGAAGTACTGACAACATTGATGTTGATGTTGTTATTGTCAGAGACTGTATGTGTTTGTCACATCTTCCAATCACTCCAAAAGAAAACATGATGTCATAGCACCATCACTCCACAAGGTTCCTTAGTTTTATTGTCATTCCCCCTTTTCTTGCGAATGCTCACTATGGTGGAAAGATAAAACAAACCAAAAGGACATAGATAGTATGTTTTCTTATATTTAAGTGTGTTTCATTCATGTATAGTTTGCAAACAGGCTACATTTGCAACTAAGGGAACTAGCGGACATGAGAACGGGTTCTAGGGAGTCATCGATTGAAATAAACCTCCTAGAGAACCTCTAGAATCGACAGTCACAATAGAGAATTTGGGTTGGTGGGCACCGATTCCTCCCGACAACTGGTGTCGCTCTAAGTCAGGTAGGGTATTCTGTCAGAAGAGTAATGATCCTCTAGTTGCCTCCTATCACTACCTATAAAGTTTCAAACCCTAGAGACCTTTATATAGGCCTTGGATTAAGGTTTTTTTGGGAGAGAAACTTGGCTTTGACGTTTCATCCAACTAATTAGAAGAGTTCTTCGATGAAGCTACTACTTTCGGATAACTTATGGACGCCTTCTTGACGAAGTAGTCGCTTCTATAAATTGGCGGTCATTGCATCATTTCTCAACTAGGGTGTCATTCTGGACACATGTTTCTTCATTCGATTCTTCTTCCAGCTCCTAAGTGGTCCATTGGCCTACTTTGACCTGAAAAAGCACAAAACGCTACCAAAAGCATAACTTGATAACAAAAGGAGTCACAACTCACTTTAAGCATTCACATAACAAATCCAAGGTATAATGATGGTAACGATGGGAAATCAATGCACTTTGGATCATAATACGAGGGTCTATATTAAGTGTATCTCACGCGTCATCGGTGCTAATTTGGGATCGAACAGGCTGGACCCTTGGCAATACGGGCCAGAAGGATTGGGCGGAAGAAATGGGTCCATCGACTGCACGCAAGCGAATCAAGTTTCATTGGGCGAGGATGATTTTTCAGGCTGTGAATGATGGAATTGGGATGAAAGGGTGGCCATGACACAGGTTTGTTCGCCCAATTATTTCTAATTCGCATCTTTTCATGATGGGCAAAGTCGGGCTGAGCGTGAGTTAGACTGGGTCGAGGTACTCTCCAAGGGACAACGAACTGATAGAAACCTAGGAGGCGTAGGTTTGTGGGGATGTGCGACTCGCAACGTGGCGATGGGCTACTATTCGACGGTCAATCTTGGTCTGCCTGCCATGCCACATTCAACTGGAGTAGGGGTTAATGTCGGAGGTGTCCAAATACTGGGGCACGAGTATGGAGGATGAATAGGGTAGTACGAGTACCCCAGTCAAGCTATGTTTCACACGCAAATTGCAACGCTCGAATTCCAAAAATTTATGGGACAAGAGGACCCGTCGGGATGGATGTCATGAGTTGAGAAATATTTCAAATACTAGTGCATTCCAAAGGAGCAAACAGTGGTGTTAGCCATGTATCACATGGATGGCGACGCAAATTAGTGGTTAATGCTACTGGAAGAAGAGTTCTGGAAGCATGGTGTGGTCATGACTTTGGGAAGCTTGCGCCTGATTTATGGAATTGGTATTAATCTTCGAAAATCTCCTCCAGGTGCGAGTTATTGGCAAAATTTCTAGAGACCGAGATGGTAGACGAGTATTATACACATTCGGCAAACCGGGATGAGCAACCCCTTCTTTTGTCGAAACTGTTATGGCACAACTTTCACCAATATCGACACCAGCTCTACTATGTGGGTTGTCATCTCCACTGAGGCACATTGTTTGCAAAATAACTCCACAGGTAGCTTCCCGGTGTCAAAAGGGATAAATTTTGCTACAATTACGATGAACGATATACTTATGGCCATTGTTGAGCCAATGCAAATGTGTTCGTCATGATATGGAACTTTGAGGAGGAAGACGAAGGAGGAGATGCGACATAAGAGTTTAAGGGGGGAGGATTGATGCATTATAGCATTATAGGGTCCATGTAGCCTGACTAGTATTATTGATTATGTCTTTTATATTAAGGGGGAGGATTGATGTATTATAGCATTGTAGGGTCTGCATAGCCGGGATAGTATTATTGATTATGTCTTTCGTATTAATTATTGGGTGGGATATTCGTCTAAGTTTGTGAGTAGGACGCGTATTATCAATTGTGTATTATCTATAAAGTTACTCTTTACTTATTGGTTTAGCATTTGTATAGCTTGTCTATAGAGAATGGGATTTGTGGGATTTGTTCAATAAATATGAACATTTGTCTATGTTTTACTCATGAATGATATAAAGTATTTAGGAGTAAATTATTGTGGTTTTACCCAATTCGTAGTTCTTTGTAGTTAACCGATTTCGAGTTCATTCAACATTTGACGCATGAGACCAATCACACAGAGCAATCTACGGGAAGTCGGAACATAATTTATTCCTTGATATTATCCTTCAGTATCGGAAACAAATAAAATAACAAATCGTAGTATTTTTATTTTTCCGAGTTAGGTAAAACGACTTTCAAGGACAGAACTAGGTTGTCTGTGATGAAACTAGCCATCTCCTCACAGCTAAAAATGGAGAATTTTCAACTCCGGTTGTTAACTGATCAGTGAGTTCACGGCTCAAGGTACGGCATTTTTATGACATGATTCGATATCAGTATTTGGATAACCCAATATCGAATAGAATTTGTCAATATGGTATAACTGAGGTTGTTAATGCGTTGTGCTGTTTAGGGGCGTTTCAATATTCGACTCAATAAAAACTCGTTCTGTTAAGAAAATGTTCGACTCGTCCATTATCGATCTAACTTGAGCTAAACCTTGTTCATCTTGTAAGTCAAGTCAATTAAGTGCCTTGTTGAACTCAACTCGTGAACTTTGTTCTTTTGAGCTCATGATTTATCTAAGCATTGTAATTAGTGAGTCCTCTCAACTTCTAGCTCATGAGAAAATCGACAAAAAATTTGATCAAATATGGTTAGGAATAACCACCAAAGGGTAATAGAGGTGGTAAGGCGCTTGATTGTGTTTAGAAGGTCATATGTTCGATCCTTAGCAGCCACCACTTCTATGTTACCCTCTTGATGGCCACCGACAGGACTGTAAGCTCATATTAAATGCTCTCATGTTCGCCGGATATCTATGGGGGCCAAGGTTAATCACGTATTTCTCCTCATAACAACATATATGTGTAATTTTAAGAATTTGAGTATATAATCAGATATATAACACAAATATAGGATTTGAGAACCAAACTTGAACACGGCCAAAAATTTGGATTTAAGAACCAAACTTGGACACGGCAAAGTGACCAAATGTGCAAGCCACAATCTTGAAGACTACTAGAGCCCAATTTGGCCTCCATCAATATTGATTTGGCTTTGATCTACATGACGCTTGTAATGGTGAGGGACGCCCTCGCGACAATGGGCAAGCTGCTATGCTTAGCCGAGCAGCAGGCAAAGAGTCAGGTCCCACGAGATAATATAACCATAAATCTCATATAGGATCATCACTTGAATAATCATTAAACACATACTGGTTTTTGAATAATTCCGACTCAAATGGGTAAAATCTTCAATGCGTGATACAGAAAATAGATCCAACACAAGAGAATGAAGACAGAAAAAAGGCGCATATTCATCTTTAGAGACTTTACTGCAAAACCAGTTCACGGCCAAAAACAGCGCAGGCAGACCCTTCTGAATTGAAGTCCAGTCCTAATAATAATCCTCTTAAAAACCTTTGCCTTAAAATAGCCTAGCGGATTTTAGAGAGAGATCCTTCATCCTGTTCCGATAACAATTAAAATGAAAATCCAGCACGCGATCGTTCATCAACACATTCGAATTGCAAAACTGTCTACCACTTACACCCGAACCAGAGCCTTCCAAAGAGCACTTGTACATAACGGTCTCAACCTTGCCCACACAGATACCTGCTATCAGGCTTTAGTGGAATCCTCCTGATCGTCTGTATCCATTGGCTCCCCACTTGCTGGGGCATCGCCAGCAGGCTTCTCATCATTATTGCTTGGGTCGACATTGGCATTGGCATTGGCATTGGCATTGGCATTGGCATTGGCATTGGGATCAGCATGGCCACCTTGAGGAGGTTGTTCAGGGGATGCCGCGGGCACTTCAGGAGTAGCCGGCTTTGGTGGTGCTGGCTTTGGTTTCGTCATTATTGGCCGGCAAACCCTGGTAGTAGACGAGAAGACCAATTGTTGTTTCTCATATTCTCAAACAAAAATAGCATTCTGCAAACTACTGCGTGTATAGATCTAGTAAAATGATATACCTGTCAAGTGCCTCAGCCTTCCTTCTCAAATCGGCCGACAAGAGAATTGGAGTAGCATACTTGGGGAGGGAGTCCTGCTGCTGCTTCTTCTCGCTGAGCCATGCTTCTGCTTCAGCACATTCATTCAGAACCTGCAGAACGATCAAGCAGAGAAATTGAAGAACAAGGATAGGGAACATGGAAATTGCACAGTCGTGGTCAGGTGGGAAAAATACAAACCTTTTGTTTTTCAGCCATATCAATATGATCGAATTTGTCGTTAGACAAAGCAGCTTCTCTGTAGCTTTTGGCACAATAAACAAGTTGATCGATTACGGATCCCCTCTCAGTGGACTCCTTGTAGCGCTGCTCAATTGGGTCGCCTTGCTGAAAGTTTTCAAACCAACTAGATTAGAACTGAAAGATACCCATTATATGTCCCTTTCCTTGGAAGAAAACAAGGAAATACCTTCTTTAGCTCCTCAAGCTTAGCAATATAAACACCTTTTGTCTCATCTTCTCCATCTTCATACAACCAGTCCTCCACCTGCTGTAGCTTGGTCAAGAGTTCTTCCCTCTCCGGCTCAGTGACAAACTCTTGATACTTATCAAGGAGCTAGAGCATGACACCCCAGTTAGCCCATACTTAACGTGATGGGAACATCCAAAAACAAATTCATGGAGCTAGAGCATGACAAACCAGGGAATGTTATAGCTTTTACCTTGTTCCTCATCTCATACACATAAGCCTCAACTGCATTTTTCTTGTCTTTAGTCTCTTCCATCACTCGATCTTGCAAGGCCATCTCAAACTCCTTTTCTACTGCTTTCTGAAGATCAACTGGAGGCAATCCACCATGGACCAATTCTGATACAGGTATGTTGGATTTCTTAACTTTCCTCTTCGGAGCATCAGCCTGCCAATAGCAAAATGCCGAAGCAAGAATTAAAAAACTTTACCCAATATGCAGAACAATTCAACAAGGGATGACATAGAGTTGTTCCAAGCTAAGTTCACATTGAAGACAAACCTTGCTATCTGTTTCCATTTGTGAAGGCTTATCTCCAGCATCAGAAGCACCATTTTCAACACCAGCATTGCCTTCCTGTGCATTCATATCAGCTTCACTCGTGCTGGGCGGCACACTATCACTTGGAGCATCATCAGTGTCCATCTTGGTGGCTGGCTCTTTCGATACGGGAATTTCAACTTCTTCCTCTTCCAAAAGCTGGTAATTATAAACCCACGAATCTTAATAAAAATTATGCCCCAAGTGTGGTAGAGTGAAAGGGAAAACTAATGGACTTACCGTTGCAGCCTCGACGGACACAATCCCGTGCAAATTCAGGCGAGTTTTCACCTTAACTTTGGCACGCTCACCCTTTGTGGCCTGGAAAGGCCCAATCTGTACAAGATGATGACAGAACCATCAGCAAAATGATGAAAGTGGGGTTGCAATAAGGATACCTAAGCATGTTTCCTTACGGTATAAGAACTGATTTTAGCAGGTGCCACCAGTCCATCTGTCTCTGCATATTGGACATCAACAGAAAATGTCTCTGACCGGTAGAAAGTCAGAGACTTGATGCTGGGTAAGGCATTTCCCCTGGGGAAAACAAGAGTGCTCTGTTGGCTATCAGCAGCCCCATTTTGAGTCTCCGGTGCTGCACCTTTCCAGGTCATAGCAATTGAGAATGGAAAGCTCTCATGAACCTACAAGTTAAACAAAACAGTTACTTCCACTGGCGTGTTATGTTCCACAGACAAATAACTGTTTTCAAATTTCAACAGGGACCATGCCAGCCACCACTGGCACAATATATTTGCAGCCAGGAACCGACAAACTAATAAGCTGCGCTCACTAGTAACGATAAAATGAGCATTACAAAATCAAAATAAATTAAAGCTAACAACTAAAGCAAGAGATTTATTCTAGCAAAGCTTCCTATAGCTTATACAATCCATGGTCCTTGAATTTTACCTGGAATTCTCTCACTTTGAATGTGGGGCTAAGGATAGCACATTGCAAAGCACACCCCCTAGAAACACACTCACTAGCATTCATTGTGCGCCTTGGCTCCTTGCCAAAGAACTCTGTCAGAATCTTAAAAACAGAGGGTATACGAGATGCAGAACCAATAACCTCAACTGTATGAACATTCTCAACAGAAAGTCCAGCATCATGAAGAGCCTTCTCCAATGGCTTCTTCACACGATCCAATATAGGCAGACTAATCTGTTCAAACTCATCTCTCTTAATGTAACCTCTCACATCTTTCTCTTCCATCAAACACTCAATATTCAAAGGTGCCTCAGGATTAGCACTGAGAACCTTCTTTAATTTCTCACAAGCAGCTCTCAGCCTGAGACAAGCTCTGGCATTCTGATAAACATCTATCTTGTACTCATCCTTGAACTTTGCAGCAAAGTGGGTGAACAGAGCTTCATCAAAGTCTCTGCCTCCTAGGGACCGGTCAAAAGCATGTGCCAGTACCTTGAGCTGCCCTTTCTTGTATCCAACAATGCATACTTGCATACTCGCATGGCCAACATCAACGAAAGCGACATTCATTTGGTCACTTTCAGGCAAGTCAGTTTTGTAAATTCCATAAGCAAGTGCAGTTGCAGTAGTTTCATGAAACAAACGAAGCGGATGCAATCCTGCAATTGTGGCAGCATCCAAGACAGCCCTTCGCTGTAGATCGGTGAAATAAACAGGAATCCCTATGCAGCAGTCAACCACTGCAGTGTTGAGATTCTTCTCTGCTATCTCTTTCAAATTTGACAGCACCATTCCCAAAACCTGAGTAGGCGTGAATGTCCTCATTTCGCCCAAATACCGAGCATGGATCAAGGGGAACCCATCAGGTCCTTCAGAGACAGCATATGGCAACGACTTTAGATCCCTCTGCAATTCAGGGTCACTGAATGGGCGTCCAATTAAGCGCTTAATCTGACTAATGGAATTTTTGGGGTTAGTCATAGTAGAGGCAGCCCCTGCAGTACCAATGAACCTTTGCTTCTCCCCAAAGCAAACAATGGCTGGAGTCTCACGTTTTGATTCGTCATTAAGAACGACATCAATTCCTCTTTGTCTTGCCACAGCAACAAGGCAGTTTTCATTTCCGAAATCAAAGCCAACCACACTCATGTTTTCCTAAATCCAACAAATTCACTGAACAAGTCAGTATTCAGGATGACCACCTGAGCAAGACAACAATAGTAACAAACCAAGTTAGACAAAGGATGTTAGACAATCAACCAAAGAAGGAAGATGGAAAGGATATCATCCTGGAGTAGATCAACTAGAAATTAGCCACCAATCAAATTACAAGAAACCAAAATAACTCCAGCACCTGATGAGGGCCAATTTCTACTGTTTGAAGATCAATTCAATGAAACCCTCAAAGCCAACAAATCTTTTCCACCCGTTAAATGTCAAATTAGGCAAGGACAAAAAAAGAAACCAGTTTGCTTGCCGCCATTTTACCAAACAACATGCATATGGAACAATGGCTAATGGATTGCCAAAGACCCAATACCCAGAAAGTTAAAGCGCAAAATGGGTGTCATGAGACAGGTTATAGACGTAATGTAATGTGTACAGGCTCATTCAGAACTTAAACACCTACATATCAATGCATGGTTCACCAAGGGGAAATTCTAATCCCGTCAGAGGGTTTAATAGGAAGGATCTCAGGTTAATGGACAAAGACAATCAAACTTTCTGGGAAAGAAAAGAAAAACTCACTACTCCATCAGTTAAACGGTAAGAAGTTAACCCAGGCTGGCATTTTTGAAAGAGAAATCGATCAACTGACCCTTAGCCGCCATTCACAAAACCTAAAACCTTCAGTCTGCTTACACCCTATGGCCTATGCCACACTCACCACCAACGATTGGCCTAATCTATCATTTAAAGCAAGATCGCCAAAGCAACAAAAAACCACTGAAGCAGAGCAGAAAGCTTAAAATTTGAAAGATAAAAAAAAAGATCGACTTGGAAATCCCCCAATCAATCAGCTACAAAAGAAACCAGCAACGCTCAATTAAATTCAATAATAAGGAAGACGAGGAAAGCTATTCCAAGTCTCGGACCTGAAGCAATGAATGAAACTCACAGATCTACGAGGGAGTTGAAGAGAGAGAGAGCTCAGGCGATGAAACGCAAGCACAGAACCCCGAGATTCGCTCAGAGACTAGACTGAATCGAATCGTCGCGCAGAGAAGAGAAGGCTAGGGTTATAAGTATCGTCGCACCTTTAAAGGGAGAAGGAATGAAAGCGAGCGGAGGTGAGTTGCGAAGGGAAGGACGTGTGTGGTTGATTCTAGAAATATCTCCCTCTCCCTCTCTAATTCTTTTTCGGTTTAGTTTATTTTATAATTCGGAAGAGTAATAACTCCCTTTGCTTTGCTGACGCTGGCTGGCGAGAACTCGAAGCTTGGAATTTGAGGTAGTCCGCGAGAGATGTCTAGAGAATTGGCACTTTATGGTCCGCTTCTAGAAAGATCTAAACTCTCTTCTTTGTTTCGACAGCTCCGGATACGGTGCATAATCCTCTCTTTTGAGTTTCGACGATTCTGAATACGATGCATAACTCATGGTTTGCACCTATCGGCTATCAGTAACTATCTGGACTCTTCCTTTTAAGTGTTATTAGAAAATTCATATCTAAAAGAGAGAATTAAATGCATTTTTGGATCGTTTGCTTCAAGGTTTTGTTGATGGATTTGGTGATGGACTTGCATTTATCATGGACTTTGACAAAAGTCTATTGTTTGCTTGATGGAATTGGAGGGAGTAAATCCGTGGGGCCCACAGAGTTTGGAGGTCCAAATCCGTGGACCTCACGGACTTGGAAGTTCCACCTATGGAGGTGGGAATTGGGTGATGGATTTAAATCCATGATGGTATTTTACTAGTTTATCCTTACTTATTTTACCTAATGACTAATCTACCCTTCCTTCTTCCTCGGTGGTGAGCAATGAATGATAAAGGGACTCTAATGTTTGTTTCTCCTTGTCTCTTTCTTTTTTTGGGCTTGTTTAACATTAATTTCTCGCATAAATTGTGAATTTCGGGATGAAATTTCTGATTAAGCGTGGTGCTCGAGTTTGATCAAAAAATCGAGACATTTTCAATTGTGGTTGAATTTCACATCTTCGTCTACTGAGTCTTCTATTTACTCCTCTATTGATATTTCTAATACTTTATGCTCATCTTGTGCATTATTGTTGGATCGACAGTTGGATCCAAAAATTAGGGAGTTGTGTCATGTTCAAACTATTATGCATTTCTATATTTGTAATTGAACGAGGTCACAAAGTAGAAGTTCAGTTACTTTGTATGCATTAGATTTGTTTTTAAGGAAAATATAATTACATAAGGGTAACAAGGTAATTTGTATTTCATATCCACAAATCTAATCAAATAAAATCCATTATCAAATCCAACAAGCAAACAATAGACTTGTTCAAATCCATGATGCCACCAAATCCATCATATATCCATGGTTTTTCAAAACCCAGGTTTTACCAAAACCCTCATATTTAAAATCCACGAAGCAAACGACTCGTTTTTCTTGTTTTCTTAATCGGCTCATATCTTCTTTGTTTTAACTCGGATTTCAATTTTCTTTGCACAGATGAAATGAGTTCGTTGTGCTCTACAAAATGAGAGCCATTTTACAATATTTTTTGAGAAAAAAAATTCATGCCTCTCGTTACTAACTACATACCATATGGTATCTTCTTCATTTTTAAGTCATTTTTAAAAAAAAATTGCACAGATAAAATGTGTTCATCATGATCTATTGAATCCACAAATTTTTTGGTGCACAAAATACAAGACAAAAAAATACAACACAATACCACTCTGGTATGGGGTGGTATCTTGTGATACACAATGTTGAAAATCGTAATTGACAGTTAGTATACTCCTAACTAACATGTATTTAACCATCCTACAATTTTGGTATGTTCATACCACCATGGTACGCTTTTCATACCATATGGTATGCTCTTATTTCAATACCATATGGTATAGACTAGTAAAAAATTGTTCAAGTTTTTTGTTCAAAAAATATATCAAAGTGGATATCATTTTGAAGACCACAATTAATCTGATCTAACTGTGCAAAAAAATTTAAATTCTGACTTAAAATGAGTGAGAAATCGTTCATTAAAGATTAAGAGGTAAAAACTTAAAGGCTTTACAAGAGAGAAGAGGCGTTGATGTGGCGGATGGTGATTGGGTTATGCATGATTACTGAACTATGGGTTACTATCAGGATCCGCTCCCGAGTTTTGACTCACTTCGCTTGCCTTCAACCCCCTCACTCGTTAGATTTAGCAAGATTTAGGAAACCCTACCATACCAGCTGGTCGGATCGGAAATACCGGATAACGGACACAAAACGGTAGGCGATTTTAGTGGTAGGAAACGGTTCAATCACGGTTAAACCATGGTTTTAGTACAAAATATTCTACCACTCACTTTTCTAGTATAATCTCCGGTACGGTTTCCTAAACCTTGGGATTTGGACCATCTTTTTTTTTATTATCTAGAAACATCCACATGCATAGGGGTGGAAGTTTGGTTTGCGGGTTGCGGGTAACCCACAAACCGCACCAAACCGCACACTTTGTGGATCCCCATATGGCCATATCCACAATTTGTGGATAGTGGATTGGGTGTGGGTAGCAAAATATTGATTTTTGTGGTTAGTGGTTAACCACTACCCATAGCGGTTTACCCACAAAATCCATATTAACCACATTAGTTATATTTATTTCTTCAAAATATTTTGTAACCCTTATTAACCACATTAGTTATATTAGTTTGTGAAACTTGTAAGACTAAGAATTAAAGTAGCTACCAAAATCAAATACACACTTATTCTATAAAACAAAACCAAGTCAATACACAATGTTCATGTGAGCTACTTTTATCAAATAAGCATTATCCGTGTGGTATATGTTTATTTTATAACAAAATAAACTCCATAAATATAGTCAGATAAATTAATCAATTCGTTAAAAAAGGGGAATATTCGCTAAAGATTAGTCCGATACCCAAACTCATCTCCATTTCTCCACAAACTCACGAACAACACAACATGCAACCAGCTACCAACAATACAATACTATAATCGAGAGTGAGAATAATCGATTCATTAAAAGCGGGCGCCTCCACTTATAGAGCCACTTTGTGTTTTGCTGTTGTTGCCATCGGAGGAGTCGTGACATGCGACGATGTTTGTCTGGTAACAAATCACTCCGCCTCTCCATTATCTTCAAACCTCTTTGCAAATCCATCTCTTCTGAATTTACACTAACTAACCAATTGTATTCGAGATTTATAATTTATTTAACACTTTATTAACTTTCTTTTATGTATGTTTTTGTTTGAGAGGAAACACAACATCACTATTTAATTACAATATTATTATATTTAATGTGAAATTTTCGTCGGTATCCACAACCAACCCCCACCAACCCGCAGCGGGTAGTGGTTAACCCCTACGTGGGTAGCATAATTCTATATTTGTGGGTGTGGTTACCTGCAAAATGTGGGGCGGGTAACCACACCCACCCCAATTCCCACCCCTACGCACACACCATATTTTGTGATAGCATAGCGAGATCAAACTTGGGGTTAACTGCTTGCAATTTTATGCGCCAACAGGGCTTCGCCCTGAGCAGCCAGATGCCTCCGACAATTTTATGCTTGCAATGACCCGACTTGTTGTCCGATAATTTTTTATTTGTTTTATATTCTACTATATTTTGTATTTGTTGTTTCATCCCTCAATTCTCAATCTCTGAAAATCATACGATGACAAGTCGAGTATTTTGGTTTCGGGTGCAAATCAGGATGGGTATGTTCATGAGAGTATACATTTCAAAGGAAAATATTTAACATAAAAATTATTTATTGATAATTTGCGAGTCAAAAGTTATATTGAATATAGACTATAATATAATGAATACAATTAATTTAATTATGAATTAACTACACATGTTTAAAGTGAACAATTTATTAAGCTTCTCACTCCTAGTGAGTCGATCAAAATTAGGTCCAATACTAAATATATGATATTTAATACATCAACAACTTTCATATATCACAATAGTAATACTGCAAAGAAAGCAGGATCATATCCTCTGCCTATAAATCATTGGTCTTGCCTACCTATGTATTAACATGAACATCTAGAGCGTCATTGAGACCCTTTTTTCCCATAAACGCTCAGGAAGAAGGACTCTTCCCACTTGCTATGATATTATTTCTATCCAAATTGAAATTAATAAGCGAGAAAATCAACAAAGCATAACAATAAGCAAGTATATTAATAGTAGAAGTTTTGAATTTGATAAACCCACGACATCAAATGAATCTAGAATCAATGTTATTAATGGTTCAAGCTAATATAGTTTACCTCGTGTCCTTTGAACAACCAAATATACATAACACCAAAGAATTGAAACAAAAAACAATGCATTTTACCCTATCCCCTCCCCAGCCAAAAGGTGAGCATATCTTCACATTAAGGAATTCTCTGAGTTGAAAATCCATGATTTGCAAAACATGAAAACAGAAGACAACATCGTCAATCAAGTAAATTTGTAGGAAATAATTATCAAATAACTTCAAGAAAGAGCTGGACCAAAAAGCCTCATCAAATCAAGCTTGAAACTTTAGGTGCTAGTAACCTGCATAAATCAGGTAACTTAGCGATGACAATGGGGCATGGTCGGGTGGGTATCTCAATACCCATACTCGCTCCACACCAAGCATGGGACGAGGCTGGGCGGGTCGGCCTACTCTTACATGTTATTTGAAAACAATACACGCAATAGTTTACTTTTTAAGATAAACGAAAGGAAAACACTTTTTGAATGAAAAATAGTAAAATGAAATGGGTAATTGAGTCTAACTAGTTGAAGGAAAGTCAAAATATGATATATGGGTGGTTACTCTTTTTTTTTTACCCAAGGTACGATAGAACCACCCATATATATGTTGTGCTCTAGTATGAACTAAAACCAAAAGGTCTAGTATAACAAAATGACATAGTAAGTGGATTGCTTCATTTTAACCTCCAAAATTTTACATCATTAATTTTCTTAAAATAGGCATGCAATCTAGATTCTGAGGCACAAGTGTAAAGACAACCTAAAAGCCTTTGAACAACTAAGTAGACATAATATACTATACATCCACATAAGGTTAACACACAACATTTTGAACGCCATTGGTACAGTAAGTATGTAACTGAAAAAGTTGTTTATTAGAATCTCATTAAATAGAGGTTCAGCTGAATTTGTAAGAGAATATATGAGATCAAGGATGAACATAGACATAATTCAATTTTGTATGGATAGATAACCCAATAGTCTCCAATTTCAACAATTAATATATCCATTGAGACGTCAGACTTGCTGGACTCAAAGGGCAAAATGATATTCGATCTAGTTAAAAAGCATAGAAAGACACTTCTTCCCAATCAGAACCCCTCTAACCCTTGATTTGTTAATGGGATGAGGTTTCTCATCTCCCTATGAACTTTGATTAATTGAAGATGATGATGAACGTAGCTGACATACCATAAATAAGCACTTGTAGTGTAAGAGTAACGAATCATGTATTAATGAATAATGATTAACTTACGCAGTCAATATCCTCCTCTCCGTGGGCGGACAATATTCCTCTAACTCCTTCAATTTCAACAATCGGAGATAGGGAACTATGGTGGCCATAGCCGGTGCGGTTGCTTCATGACTATCATCGCAATATTACCTAATGGTACTGCGATTGATGAAGAAACATCACAGCTTTCAGTGTTCTATGTCGTGCTTTCGGCAATCAGAGTGTAGCAGGTTTGTGGCTGTAGAGACTAAAGGCCAGTAGATTCGGATGCAGAGCTTTGGACAGGCGGTGATTATTGTGGTGGTAGGGTTGGGACAGTATTTGGGGCCATTAGCTTTTCTTAAGGATTTTACTGTCGCGTTCTGCAAACCTTTAGTAAACAACTTCCCTAAATACTCTTTCGAGAATTGGCAGGAAATTTGAAGTGAAGGTGACACTATTTATAAGATAGATAAAAATTTAAATTAAAAATTAAACTACAATGAAAATAATTAAAATATGAAAATCAAAGTATACTTAGTGAAGATTTAGCGGGCTAGGTAAACCGTTAGAAAGTCTTGAGATTTCCTGAAAATTGTATTAGTGTTTATAGTTTTTATTAGTTTTTATAGTTATCATAATTATAAAAAAAATATTATAAAAAACGGGTTAGAAAGTCATTTTTTGTCTATAGTTTAAATGACAGCTAGGTAACATAACAAAATTATTTTAATTCATAGTTTTAAAAAAATAATTTTATATCAAACCATAAAAATTGTGGTACATCAACCCATATTTTATTAATATGTAGTTATATTGTAGTATAAAGTTAAAAAGAAAAATACAACTCTTGACAAAGCCAATATAAAACATGAAACGACTAATAAAAAAAAAGAGAGTTTAGAGAACTAATGGACAGTTAATCAATAACTTGGAAAAAACAAAATCAATATCTAGTAACTGTTACTTTTCTTTTAGATACTTGTGTTTGCTCGCCTATGATAAGTGTAGCATTCAATGGAGGTTTATGTGGATTTTTTGGATGAAGAAAGGCTAGCGTTCAGACGATCCCTTATCCCCTTATTTATTCTCTATGGCCATGGAGGTCTTTGACGCATTAATTAAAAGGGCAGTGGCCACATCTCAAATTCCCTTTCATCCGAGATTACAAAGCATTAGGTATAACTCACCTATGCTTTGTCAACGATCTTCTTGTCTTTCTGAATGGATCTATATGTGCTGCTGATTCGAGCAAATTTACACATGATTTACCCCTTTATATTTTGAGTGTTTGACTTGGTAATCGTCGTTCCTCGACCTATTTTACACTAGGTTGTGCTTCTTTTGTCATATTTCAGGTCCTAGTACGTGTGGGAGGTCGGGTACAAGTTTCCGGAGATTTGAAGGTCAAAACGAACCAAAAAATGGAGTCTGTGCAAGGTTCATGGGTTGGGTGTTAGGATCACGCCCCGAGGGAGTGAAAATCACACCAAAACCCTGAAGTGTGCAATTTCCAGCAACCTTTGTGCATCTCGTGAGCTGTGCACACTTCACGGCCTGGGGGCGTAAAAATCACCCCAAAACCATGAAGTTTGCAAAAAATGGTTTATTTTCTGCTAAGACCACCAGTTGCTTGCTGATATCACAGCTATTAACAGTGATCGTGAAGTCTGCACTTTCGGGCATATAAAAAAGCAGCAGATGGGGGAAAAAGAGAGCTCGGATTTTCTTCAGGGTTCCAACCCAAAGCACTCAAAGAGACATTTTGATAACACCTAAATTGGTGTTATTTACCTTTCATATTTAGGTTTGTTTCGTGCTAATTCATGTGCATAGTCATTTGAATAGCATCAATTGCATCCATATTTCGTTCCTATTTGACTATGATGTGATTTTAGGGTGCTTTAGACAATACATGCGAATTAGGTAAAAAAAAGTGCACAAGTGTAGAGTTATGGGCGACCAGGAAAGGAGGACGCGAAGAAAGAGCTATGATCCCGGCCTCCAGCCTGAAGATTGCAACTGCGATCTCTAGAGTGATGGGCGCGAACTTGGAGAGGCAACCAACGAAGGAGAAACAGAGAGTTTCCCCAGCTGAGTCACGACCATCGTCTTGCGAGCCCACGAAAAAGTTTCTAGTCGTGACATCATGGATCACGACCGAGATTTCAGCCCGCGAACTTCGAGTTTTCAACGCGCAAATGGGTTGACCCAAGATCGCGGCCCCACTTCATAAGTTCACGACCACGAACTTCCACCCCTTAGTTGTGAACTTGCCCAAAATTTCAGAACTCTATAAATAGGGGACTCCTTCCCCTTTAGAATATGGTTGTTGTCATATTTCAGGTCCTAGTACGTGTGGGAGGTCGGGTACAAGTTTCCGGAGATTTGAAGGTCAAAACGAACCAAAAAATGGAGTCTGTGCAAGGTTCATGGGTTGGGTGTTAGGATCACGCCCCGAGGGAGTGAAAATCACACCAAAACCCTGAAGTGTGCAATTTCCAGCAACCTTTGTGCATCTCGTGAGCTGTGCACACTTCACGGCCTGGGGGCGTAAAAATCACCCCAAAACCATGAAGTTTGCAAAAAATGGTTTATTTTCTGCTAAGACCACCAGTTGCTTGCTGATATCAAAGCTGTTAACAGTGATCGTGAAGTCTGCACTTTCGGGCATATAAAAAAGTAGCAGATGGGGGAAAAAGAGAGCTCGGATTTTCTTCAGGGTTCCAACCCAAAGCACTCAAAGAGACATTTTGATAACACCTAAATTGGTGTTATTTACCTTTCATATTTAGGTTTGTTTCGTGCTAATTCATGTGCATAGTCATTTGAATAGCATCAATTGCATCCATATTTCGTTCCTATTTGACTATGATGTGATTTTAGGGTGCTTTAGACAATACATGCGAATTAGGTAAAAAAAAGTGCACAAGTGTAGAGTTATGGGCGACCAGGAAAGGAGGACGCGAAGAAAGAGCTATGATCCCGGCCTCCAGCCTGAAGATTGCAACTGCGATCTCTAGAGTGATGGGCGCGAACTTGGAGAGGCAGCCAACGAAGGAGAAACAGAGAGTTTCCCCAGCTGAGTCACGACCATCGTCTTGCGAGCCCACGAAAAAGTTTCTAGTCGTGACATCATGGATCACGACCGAGATTTCAGCCCGCGAACTTCGAGTTTTCAACGCGCAAATGGGTTGACCCAAGATCGCGGCCCCACTTCATAAGTTCACGACCACGAACTTCCACCCCTTAGTCGTGAACTTGCCCAAAATTTCAGAACTCTATAAATAGGGGACTCCTTCCCCTTTAGAATATGGTTGTTGGCATATATCTAACTCTAGAGAGAGTTTATAGAGAGGAGTTGAAGGAAGGAGAAGAAGAGGAAGAGAGCTTGGATGAAGATTTCCATCACTTGAAGATCCTTTCTTCATGATTCATTCCCCTCTTTGTATGTTTTTTCTTCCCCCCTTCATGGGGTGATCTCCCAAGGTACTATGGTTCTAAACCCCAAACCCTAGTTTTAGGGTTTACTATGTATGTATGAATATTTTAGGGTTTGAATGAATGAATCTGTTTATCCAGTTGATTTTATTGTTATTCTATCTTTGATTGTGTTTGGGTAAGTCTCCCTAATGTTACAGAAGAAGGCAAACAAATTAGAAACAATAACGAAGTGAGAGAGTAGTGAGAGAAAATCCTCCCGTTTTCTTGGCGAGTTAGGTTTCCGTCGTGGGCCTGGCTGGCCGTGCCGGCATCTGCGCCGGTACGCTTCTTTGTGATTCGAGGTTCTGTGAGCGATGGCGTCTGAAATGAGGGGTGTAGGTGAGGAGGGCGTTCCTACTAAGCCTTGGGCGGAGCTGTTTGGTATCGCCGAGGAAAACCGTCTGGAATATATTCCGCCGGAGCACTTCAAAGGGGGGATTCGAATGCCCAAAGTGGTAAGTGACGAAGGTGCGGCTCGATGGCGACATAGCCTGGTTGGGCAATTCCTTCATCCATCTTCATCTTCTCTCCTGGAGCTTCGGAGATGGGCAAATAAACTATGGGGGCGTGACGGTGCTGTTCGGATTTCCTTACTGGGTAATCAACTTCTTCTCATTCAACTGCCTTCTCAGGAAACTTATGACTGGATCTTGGAGAGGGGGCCTTGGTTTCACGCGGATAACATGCTATATCTTCGACCTGGGACCCCGGGGATAGATGTGGAAGATTTGGGGAACAAGGCTCTGCCTATTTGGGTGAGGTTCACGAATGTTCCTTTGGAGTATGTCAATTTTCAGGGTATGAGTAGGTTGGGAAGTTTCCTTGGCGTTCCTTTGGGAGTGGATCATACCACGAGATTGGGAGGTCGATTAGGCTGTGCAAAGGCCCTGATTGAGTTGAAGGCATCAGCTCGTTTCCCTGATCATGTCCTGGTCTGGCCTACGGATGAGCGTTCAATCAGGGTGGGGGTTGCGTATAGCCATTTGCCTCCTGTATGTGTACACTGTCAATCTTTTGGTAAGTGTGGATGTGAGCAGAGAAATCAGAAGCCTAAAGGGGGCCAGGGAAATAATGAAGCAGAAAGAGTTTGGGTTAAGAAGGTGGCTAGGCAGGCTCCAAGCACTCCTGTTCCTAATGATAAGGGGAAGAGTGTGTTGCCAGATTCTGCACAGTGTACTAATCTGTTGGTTGGTTCCAACTATGTAGGTATAAATTTGGAGAGCACTTTTCAGTCAGTTGCAGGATGTAGTTCGCCAGTACTGCCTTCGGAGGCGGAGTTTCAGAAAGTAGTGAATGGGGCTAGGCCGAGATGCTGGTCTCCACTCCCTAGTCCAACCAGTGTCTTGGCAACTACTCAGACTTTTGCAGCATTGGAGGGGTTGGGGGAAAGAGAGCTTACACAATTGCAGGCAGCCCCGAAAAAAGGTGGTAAGAAGGGTGGGGATTCTAATTCCTCCCCTGGATAAAGATACTGTTCTGGAACGTTAGAGGGTTTAATAAGCCCTCTAAGAGAAAGGACTTTGAGCAAGTCCTAAGTAAACATAAGGTAGATGTAGTGGCGATTCTGGAAACAAGGGTTAGGAAAGCAAAAGCTGAAGAGACTGTTGTGGGGTTCTGTACAGGGTGGAAGAGATTTCTGAATTTCTATGATAGTGACCTGGGTAGGGTTTGGATGTTTTGGAATCCAGATATTGAGTTTCGTGTTCTTGCAGCCAGGAAGAACTATGTT